TTATACAATATACCATTGTCTTTAAACGATATACCATTGTCTTTCAGCAATATACCATTGTCTTTAAACAATATACCATTGTCTTTAAGCAATATACCATTGTCTTTATACAATGTACTATTGTCTTTAAACAATATACCATTGTCTTTCAGCAATATACCATTGTCTTTAAGCGATATACCATTGTCTTTAAACAATATACCATTGTCTTTAAACAATATACCATTGTCTTTATGCAATATACCATTGTCTTTATACAATATACCATTGTCTTTAAACAATATACCATTGTCTTTAAATGGTATGCCCTTGTTTAAAATGTCCCACATTATACTCAAACAATGTTTTTGGGTGGCAAATCACTCAACTTGGTCAAGTTTGTAGAAGCACCAAGGTTCATACAAACCCATCTTCCCGAGGCAAGGGAGTTAACTGACTATAAAAGTCCAGTTCCCACACCTTCCAAACTAGGCTGCAATTATGGAGTTGCATTTTGGTTGGACTAACGAGTCAAAATATAGTCCAATCAAGATCGTGTAACCAACTTCACATCCAGTTCGTAAACAACATGGATTTCAGGGTGCAGATTACATCGACTGCAGGATTTCAAAGCATGTTACCGCTAACTAGGCGTCAACAGATATTTTGCTAATTCTTTCATGTTTTTAATCAAAGTGCTCAATTGATTTGATGCACTTCGCAGGGTAAGACCTGTTTTATTACAATACAGATCTTGATTATCGAGCAGATCGTCTTTGACTGGGCGCCTCTGTTTTGTTTGAAGCAAATGCAAATGATATGAGAGATGGAATCTGATTGGTGAATAGGAGGAACATTGAAAGGACATAACTCATAAAAGCCACCGGTGACACAACAATCGAGCCCGGAAATCCCAGCCTAGTTCGGCAAGGGACTTTTATAGTCAGTTTACTCCCTTGCCCCAGGAAGATGATACAAACCCTCTATATGTGATAACACACATTTTGTAATGTCTATTAATATATTCATTATAATCCTGTCCTCCTGGTTTACCAGACAGAATAAGCATTGAACCAGTATGAGTTCCATAGATAGTAAAGAGGAAAGGGTGTGGCATTTAGAGTCACTGACACTAGTTCAACTCTGCATGAGTTCAATATGTATGATAATGTCGGATAAGTCTTCTCGCAACCCCCAGCATCCTAACAACGTAAACATGGTGTCTGCATCCAAGAGTAAACATAACATTCGCTGATCTGTGTGTCGAGGAACATGGTGTTATATTGGACAATATAGATGCGAAGAAATACCAAACGATTTACTTCAACAGCGGTAAAGGTATTTCGGGAGTATTTAGCTCAGAATGGAAACTCAGTTGAGTTTGAAACTTTTCAATCAATGTATTGGACAGAATGCTGGCAAAATTCTATTTGAAGCCAGAACCCAGGAAGGCAATTTCAAGAAAGTTCCTCAGATTCAACGACTCTTTGAACATTCAAGACAAGACAAGATATAGATATTATCTGAGGAAGTGAATTCAAGGAATTATCGAAATCTTTCAAAGCAATGGCAAAAGTACAAAAGAACTGAGATCAAGCTCTACCCTCCCCCAGCCGATGCTCACATAACGGGACTCCATGACTACGTATGTAGCGCCGGCAGTCCTACACTTCCATAACACGATTTAGATCTATAACAGGATTTAGGAAATAATTACTTTGATAATTTCCAAAACATTTTCTTACCCAATAACTTGAGTTTTTTAGCTTTGTTTTTCCACTCCTATTGGTTGTCTTCTATCAATATGTTCGTATGAATAAATTAACTTTATGGCAAAGTGAAAAGAAATGCAAAGGAAATTTCCAATAGAGTAAAATCTGAATATTTCTACTCTCATGCAGGTATTCATCGATGTCATGCTGCACTTTGTGACAGGGGAGAGAAAACCTCACAGGACTGAAGGTGAGGATCTACCTCTCACCACGGATGCTGATAGCCACATGTGTCTACATCTGTATGGATGAATGCACAAAAAATCACCCAAGATGATGAGCACCATGATGGTGGAAGAATCAACGAGAAAAACGGTATTCCTTGTTTTATTAGTTTTAAACGTCTGTATCAAGTCTTAATTGTTTTTTTAACCCTAGATCATACAATAAAGATACAAGCTCTGTCGATTGTTTACAACCCTTGATGTCCTGTGTAACGGACGTTAAATATGTGCATCCCTTGAACAAGGACTGTGTGAAGCTTTCTCAACAGCCAAACACTGAGGCCGAGAATGGGGTGTACTACAACGCCATCGCTCTCGGGCATAATCAAATTGGATTCATGATATCAACTCTCAGTCTGAAGGTTGGTCTATCTACCACATATACCAACCACTCCCTACGTGCTACCACAGTACAGGTTCTTGACAATGCACAAGTCCCATCTGAACACACCCTGACAGTCACCGGTCACAAGTCGGAGTCAAGCCTGAAGACCGACACTGGTTAACTGATGACAAAGCTAAGAAGAGAATGTCAGCTGCTATCAGTGACAAGACATGCCCTGATGTTCTGTGACCTACTGATGTGGAACAACCCAGACTAGAGAAGATGCACTTCCTGACTGTTTGAGGGAGACATTCTCCAGTGTATGCCATTTCCCGAGGCGGTTACCGTTAAAGATTTTCATGTGCAAAATCGTGTAAATAGAGTGGTTTGAAGACATGTTAAGCATGACAGGGTAGCTGGAACACAACTTGCTTCGCGGAGAAAGCTAAAGTATGACATGGCTTGCTGTCAGAGCACGTGTAAAACAAGGCAAATTGGACTCACTTGAGTTAAGGATATGACGTAATGATCGGACATTTCATTCAACAGATTCTAGGTAGAACACATTCGTTAAGATAGGCCAGCACAATAGGGCGCATCACAGCCAGCTACAATGGATCTAGACTATTGACTGACTCACAAAATCGTATTTAGTTTCTTTTGTCATATTCATGTTTCTACATCTTTTTAGGAAGAGTTTCACATTTAATGCCCCACATTTATTATCTGAATTACTTCATCAATATCAACTGTAAATAACCAGGATCAGACAGGCCAGTGAGTGATGTTATCAAGGATGGAGTTTCACAGCTGGGGTGGAGGCTTATCCTGAGCCAATATATCGATGGGTCCCAAACCATCACAAGGATATCTTTTATTTGTAGACTGACATGCAATGTGTATGTAACAGCGGTATCACATCTATGTGGAAAGACTACGAATACTTGTTGGGGGTTCATGGGATTTATTACGTCTGTTGGGACGGATGAGATGGAGATCCCACCACAATATGGATACGGATAATAATTGCCTCGTCTCAGGGACGCAGGCTCATCACATTAGATCAAACAGTATTGCTCTATATGTGATGTGCCTCTTATGCCCCAATCAGTGCAGTGCTGTGTATCATGCAGAGTTGTAACGTAGAGACCAGAGAAGAGAAATATTGTGGTGTTTAAAGCTCAGTAAAAACCCGGTCACATGCTACAGAAACAATAGGATAGGCAATCACTGGCCAAGCTGTTGCTGGACCAGATCACTAAAGACCTTACATAACTATACCCCGTACTTTACCTAAGGATTAGCAGAGAGTGCTCAGGTTAGTTTAAGGAGCTACTACCAGACTCAACTCAATTGTTTACCTAAGTTTAAAATATGTAAGTTAAAATACACAATGTTTACATTCTGCTACATGTAGCTCATGTGAAATACTCTACGGTGACAATAGTGGGGCCACCAAGCGCCCACATGCACCCATGTTCCTTCAGGCCTGACGAGAGCCACATGCACCCATGTTCCCACACGCTCCCATCAAGCCTGAAGGAACATGGGTGTATGTGGCTCTCATCAAGCCTGTAGGAACATGGGTGCATGTGGCTCCCATCAAGCCTGAAGGAACATGGGTGCATGTGGCTCCCATCAAGCCTGTAGGAACGTGGGTGCATGTGGCTCCCATCAAGCCCGTAGGAACATGGGTGCATGTGGCTCCCATCAAGCCTGTAGGAACATTGGTGCTTGTGGCTCCGTTAAGCCTGTAGGAACATGGATGTATGTGGCTCCCGTCAAGCCTGTAGGAACATGGATGTATGTGGCTCCCATCAAGCCTGTAGGAACATGGGTGCATGTGGCTCCCATCAAGCCTCAAGGAACATGGGTGCATGTGGCTCCCATCAAGCCTGTAGGAACGTGGGTGCTTGTGGCTCCCGTCAAGCCTGTAGGAACATTGGTGCATGTGGCTCCCATCAAGCCTGTAGGAACATGGGTGCTTGTGGCTCCCGTCAAGCCTGTAGGAACATTGGTGCATGTGGCTCCCATCAAGCCTGTAGGAACATGGGTGAATGTGGCTCCCGTCAAGCCTGTAGGAACATTGGTGCATGTGGCTCCCATCAAGCCTGTAGGAACATGGGTGCTTGTGGCTCCCGTCAAGCCTGTAGGAACATGGATGTATGTGGCTCCCGTCAAGCCTGTAGGAACATGGATGTATGTGGCTCCCATCAAGCCTGTAGGAACATGGGTGCTTGTGGCTCCCGTCAAGCCTGTAGGAACATCGGTGCATGTGGCTCCCATCAAGCCTGAAGGAACATGGGTGCATGTGGCTCCCATCAAGCCTGTAGGAACATGGGTGCTTGTGGCTCCCGTCAAGCCTGTAGGAACATGGGTGCATGTGGCTCCCATCAAGCCTGTAGGAACATGGGTGCATGTGGCTCCCATCAAGCCTGTAGGAACGTGGGTGCTTGTGGCTCCCATCAAGCCTGTAGGAACATGGGTGTATGTGGCTCCCATCAGGCCTGTAGGAACATGGATGCATGTGGCTCCCATCAAGCCTGTAGGAACGTTGGTGCATGTGGCTCCCATCAAGCCTGTAGGAACATGGATGCATGTGGCTCCCATCAAGCCTGTAGGAACGTGGGTGCATGTGGCTCCATCAAGCCTGTAGGAACGTGGGTGCTTGTGGCTCCCATCAAGCCTGTAGGAACATGGATGCATGTGGCTCCCATCAAGCCTGTAGGAACGTGGGTGCATGTGGCTCCCATCAAGCCTGTAGGAACATGGGTGCATGTGGCTCCCATCAAGCCTGTAGGAACATGGGTGAATGTTGCTCCCATCAAGCCTGTAGGAACATGGGTGAATGTGGCTCCCGTCAAGCCTGTAGGAACATGGGTGCATGTGGCTCCCATCAAGCCTGTAGGAACATGGGTGCATGTGGCTCCCATCAAGCCTGTAGGAACATGGGTGCTTGTGGCTCCCGTCAAGCCTGTAGGAACATGGGTGCATGTGGCTCCCATCAAGCCTGAAGGAACATGGGTGCATGTGGCTCCCATCAAGCCTGTAGGAACGTGGGTGCTTGTGGCTTCCGTCAAGCCTGTAGGAACATGGGTGCATGTGGCTCCCATCAAGCCTGTAGGAACATGGGTGCATGTGGCTCCCATCAAGCCTGAAGGAACATGGGTGCATGTGGCTCCCATCAAGCCTGTAGGAACGTGGGTGCTTGTTGCTCCCGTCAAGCCTGTAGGAACGTGGGTGCATGTGGCTCCCATCAAGCCTGTAGGAACGTGGGTGCATGTGGCTCCCATCAAGCCTGTAGGAACGTGGGTGCATGTGGCTCCCATCAAGCCTGTAGGAACATGGGTGAATGTTGCTCCCATCAAGCCTGTAGGAACATGGGTGAATGTGGCTCCCATCAAGCCTGTAGGAACATGGGTGAATGTTGCTCCCATCAAGCCTGAAGGAACGTGGGTGCATGTGGCTCCCATCAAGCCTGAAGGAACATGGGTGCATGTGGCTCCCGTCAGGCCTGTAGGAACATGGGTGCATGTGGCTCCCGTCAAGCCTGTAGGAACATGGGTGCATGTGGCTCCAGTCGGGCCTGTAGGAACATGGGTACATGTGGCTCCCGTCAGGCCTGTAGGAACATGGGTGCATGTGGCTCCCATCAAGCCTGTAGGAACATGGGTGTATGTGGCTCCCGTCAGTCCTGTAGGAACATGGGTGCATGCGGCTCCTGTCAGGCCTGTAGGAACATGGGTGTATGTGGCTCCCATCAAGCCTGTAGGAACATGGGTCCATGTGGCTCCCGTCAAGCCTGTAGGAACATGGGTGCATGTGGCTCCCGTCAGGCCTGAAGGAACATGGGTGCATGTGGCTCCCGTCAGCCCTGTAGGAACATGGGTGCATGTGGCTCCAGTCAGGCCTGTAGGAACATGGGTGCATGTGGCTCCCATCAGGCCTGAAGGAACATGGGTGCATGTGGCTCCCGTCAGGCCTGTAGGAACATGGATGCATGTGGCTCCCGTCAGGCCTGTAGGAACATGGATGCATGTGGCTCCCGTCAGGCCTGAAGGAACATGGGTGCATGTGGCTCCCGTCAGGCCTGAAGGAACATGGGTGCATGTGGCTCCCGTCAGGCCTGTAGGAACATGGGTGCATGTGGCTCCCATCAGGCCTGTAGGAACATGGGTGCATGTTGCTCCCGTCAGGCCTGCAGGAACATGGGTGCATGTGGCTCCCATCAGGCCTGTAGGAACATGGGTGCATGTGGCTCCCGTCAGGCCTGTAGGAACATGGATGCATGTGGCTCCCGTCAGGCCTGAAGGAACATGGGTGCATGTGGCTCCCGTCAGGCCTGAAGGAACATGGGTGCATGTGGCTCCCGTCAGGCCTGTAGGAACATGGGTGCATGTGGCTCCCGTCAGGCCTGTAGGAACATGGGTGCATGTTGCTCCAATCAGGCCTGTAGGAACATGGGTGCATGGGTGCATGTTGCTCCCGTCAGGCCTGCAGGAACATGGGTGCATGTGGCTCCCGTCAGGCCTGTAGGAACATGGGTGCATGTGGCTCCAGTCAGGCCTGTAGGAACATGAGTGCATGTGGCGCCCGTCAGGCCTGTAGGAACATGGGTGCATGGGTGAATGTTGCTCCCGTCAGGCCTGAAGGAACATGGGTGCACAGGCCTTGTGGGAGCCACATGCACCCATGTTCCTACAGGCTTGATGGGATTTACGATGTGTTTTCAAACATCCTCCTGCTTCAATTTGTGAAGAAAGGGTTTCTTTCAAGAGTTATGATTGTGGTTTCAAATCCTGGTTCGCCCCGATTATGTTTCTAGGTTTGTCAGCACCATACCAATGCTTGTGGGTTTCATCGAAGTGGTTAATGTCGGAAACCTGCATCACTTCGGGCTTTCCTCCCACATTAAGCTGACACGCCGCGATATAACTGGAATACTGTTAAAAGCGCTGTTAAACCCAACTCACTCACTCACTCACTACATTGAGAGCCTCAGTTTAATCACTGTCACCCCTCAGGTCCAGGGGGATTGCGTTCATTAATTAAGCCTCGAACGTGTAGAAGTGTGGGTCCTTGTGTCAGGACCTGGGGGAACGTGATCAGTGGTAATTCCACGTACACACACAGAACCGGACTGCACTATACTGGTCAAGTTACAGGAGATATGACCTCAGGGAAAGGGAAGGAAATGACATTTGTATGAGACTACAGAGATAATATGTTTAATTTCCTACTTTCAGCCCTGACATATTGATACATAAACACTAAACACTTGAGCACAGCAGGCTGCACCCAATGAAATCCTAACATTGATGCTCCACATACTGAAGGACTGGGATGTATCTGTAGGACCGTTGCTCTAGGGGCACAAGTTACAAGAGATAGGATTTGAAATGACTCTAGACATATGGCTACTTCTATTATTAATTTGGTTTGTTTGTTGTTTAACGCCGCACTCAGCAAAATTCCAGCTATATGACAGCGGTCTATGAATAATCTAGTCTGGACCTGAAAATCCAGTGACTGACATCATGAGCATCTATCCACACAATTGGGATCGATGACATACATCAACCAAGTCAGCGAACCTGACCATCCAATCCCGAGTCACCTCTTACGACAAGCATAGTCGCCTTTTATGGCAAGCATGGGATGTTGAAGACATATTCTACCCGGATCTTGACGGGTCGTTAAGTTCAAGAAACAAACTTAGAACATATGGAAAATTTATTTCAGAAATTAAACTTGGACCCTATTTAGAACACTGTCCAGTAAGTCGCCTCTTATGACAAACAGTTATTTTTACGGTAAGCATGGGTTACTGAAGACCTATTCTACCCCGGGTCTTCACGGGTCAACATGGTCCCGAATAACCTTTGTAATGAATAACTTCTGTAATCTATATAAATGTATATTTACAATGCTATAGATCATCCGTTGATGCATGTTCAAAGCTGTATCACCATTATCACCCCAGTTAATGGATCAGTGTGAACTCAATTTTCTTTCTCAACTCCTTAGGGAGTATACAACCCAGCACTGCTGTGCTAAGGAGACATCACGTCCCATCAGGGCTTCAGTGTTGGGCAGGGCTAAGGAGACACCACGTCCTATCAGGGTTTCAGTGTTGGACAGGTCTAAGGAGACACCACGTCCTATCAGGGTTTCAGTGTTGGGCAGGGCTAAGGAGACACCACGTCCTATCAGGGTTTCAGTGTTGGGCAGGGCTAAGGAGACACCACGTCCTATCAGGGTTTCAGTGTTGGGCAGGGCTAAGGAGACACCACGTCCTATCAGGGCTTCAGTGTGGGGCAGGGCTAAGGAGACACCACGTCCTATCAGGGCTTCAGTGTGGGACAGGGCTAAGGAGACACCACGTCCTATCAGGGCTTCAGTGTGGGGCAGGGCTAAGGAGACACCACGTCCTATCAGGGCTTCAGTGTGGGACAGGGCTAAGGAGACACCACGTCCTATCAGGGCTTCAGTGTGGGGCAGGGCTAAGGAGACACCACGTCCTATCAGGGCTTCAGTGTGGGGCAGGGCTAAGAAGACACCACGTCCTATCAGGGCTTCAGTGTGGGGCAGGGCTAAGGAGACACCACATCCTATCAGGGTTTCAGTTTCGGGCAGGGCTAAGGAGACACCACATCCTATCAGGGCTTCAGTGTGGGGCAGGGCTAAGGAGACACCACATCCTATCAGGGCTTCATTGTGGGGCAGGGCTAAGGAGACATCACGTCCTATCAGGGCTTCAGTGTGGGGCAGGGCTAAGGAGACATCACGTCCTATCAGGGCTTCAGTGTGGGGCAGGGCTAAGAAGACACCACGTCCTATCAGGGTTTCAGTGTGGGACAGGTTTAAGGAGACACCACGTCCTATCAGGGCTTCAGTGTTGGGCAGGGCTAAGGAGACACCACGTCCTATCAGGGCTTCAGTGTGGGGCAGGGCTAAGGAGACACCACGTCCTATCAGGGCTTCAGTGTGGGGCAGGGCTAAGGAGACACCACGTTGTATCAGGGTTTCAGTGTGGGGCAGGGCTAAGGAGACACCACGTCCTATCAGGGTTTCAGTGTGGGGCAGGGCTAAGGAGACACCACGTCCTATCAGGGTTTCAGTGTGGGGCAGGGCTAAGGAGACACCACGTTGTATCAGGGTTTCAGTGTGGGGCAGGGCTCAGGAGACACCACGTCCTATCAGGGCTTCAGAGTGGGGCAGGGCTAAGGAGACACCACGTCCTATCAGGGCTTCAGTGTGGGGCAGGGCTAAGGAGACACCACGTCCTATCAGGGCTTCAGTTTCGGGCAGGACCAAAGCTCTAGAATCTCTCCGGAGCCGAGCTGCCGGACACGGTCACCCAGCCAAGGACTCTCCGGGACCAATGTTGCTCAACTTCACCTGATTTGTGACCTGTGACCTGTGCACTGCGCACAGGATCATGTGCAACCACCTCAAAAACTGAATAATATTTGTAATGATTTGTCCCTTTAATGATTTGTCTCTGTAATGAATACCCTCTGAATGAATAGCCGCTCCAATGAATACTCGCTGTAATGAATACCCTCTATAATGAATACCCGCTGTAATGAATACCCTCCGAATGAATACCCGCTGTAATGAATACCCTATGTAATGAATACCCTCTGAATGAATACCCGCTGTAATGAATACCCTCTGTAATGAATACCCTCTAATAAATACTCTCTGCAATGACCGCCAAGAAACCATCAGCTGGCTCAGGGTATAAAAAAACATTGCATGTCAGAGCCACTTACTCCCCATTACATTTGAGTGAAAAATTGTTTTATGTTCAGGCATGGGCCGGGGATTTTCTTCTAAGACAACTTTTGTTTTTTCTGGTAATTCCTGGTATTTTTTTGGATGCCCCCAGGACAGAATACTGTCATCCATCACAAATTAGAAGCAACAGTATTATCTAACATTTTTTTCCACGTTTTTTTTTGGTGCAACAAAGGTTGTTTTTTCAAGAGCTAACCATTAATCACTGACAAGACCATGGTGCCGCATGTAGTGCACCCAGAGTTAAGTTTGAATTTCTTTTGTAGGACAGTTACAAGTAATTGCTTTGTCATCTACTGTTCATGTAGCTTACCTGGACCAGGATTTGTAGTGTTCGATCCTGGTGACCTTGAACTATTCAATATAAAACAAATAAGTTTTGTTATCCAGGAACTGGGACAGCTGGTAATTGTCCTTGAGATTTATAAACCACCTGAATCACAGAACACCTACAATCTGAACCAACATTGTACTTAGCTTCATCGTAGTTGAGTAGTTGTGGAACATCTTCAAAATATATCACATTGACACAGTTTATACCATTACTCAATAAATAATGAGTTGCGTGCATACATATATGAGTGAAAAGTAGGGCTGGGACGGGTAACTCGGGTACTCAGGTCGGATGGGTACTGAGTAGTACCCAGGTACCCACAGGACTACCCAGACCTGTGGTTAATCACGTGATATATCATTCAGTGGCAAAATTATGTAGAACTCCATGGTTACACTAAAAGTCACTAATATTTACATTTCTTTCTGACTATCCACACATTCCCTCTGATTTTGAGTATCTAAATATATTTTGCCAGGTCAAACTATTCCCAATCGGACATTTGGACCTATCTCTTGAGACGGGGTGGGTGTCGGGGGATGCCCGGGTAGTTAATTTGGACTCATCCCAGGCCCAGTGAAAAGCGCCAAGAATCCAAAACTATAACAACACAAGACAAGCATGGGGACCTAAATAACTGTTCCCTGGAATCCCCACAGGGAGACAAGTATGGGATACTGCATGGGGACCTAAGTAACTGTTCCCTGGAATCCCCACAGGGAGACAAGTATGGGATACTGCATGGGGACCTAAATAACTGTTCCCTGGAATCCCCACAGGGAGACAAGCATGGGATACTGCATGGGGACCTAAATAATTGTTCCCTGGAATACCCACAGGGAGACAAGTATGGGATACTGCATGGGGACCTAAACAATTGTTCCCTGGAATCCCCACAAGGAGACAAGTATGGTATATGGCATGGGGACCTAAATAATTGTTATATTATTTCTTTCGTTTGAGGTACGAATAAGAAAGAAATTACTTTCTCCTACCGTAGGAAAATACAACATGGTGTTGAGTAATAGTAGAGGGCGCTTATAAGGGGCTATATAAGGTTAAGCATGTATAGAGTGGTCATTCTCGCTTGCAGTGCGCCACTGAAAACTTTACTTTTATTAATGATTGTTTCTAAGTTGCAGTATGTGCGGTTAACGGTGTTAACCATGATGGTATGTCGCAAAAGATGGAGGCTTGTCGCGCTGAGAATGTCGCAAACATGGAGGCTTGTCGCGCTGAGAATGTCGTGAACATGGAGGCTTGTCGCGCTGAGAATGTCGCAAACATGGAGGCTTGTCGCCCTGAGAATGTCGCAAACATGGAGGCTTGTCGCCCTGAGAATGTCGCAAACATGGAGGCTTGTCGCGCTGAGAAACTGATGCCTGTCGCATGTAAACAG